TCCAAATTAAAAGGATGTTAAAAATTTTAAGTGGGAAAAATATCCTAGGGATATTATAAAAAAATATAGCAATATTAATATAGAACCACTAAATTCCGAGTTGAATTTATGTTCAGATGTGAATTCTAATGAAACTGATGTTTCAGATGGAATAAATATTGATCAGTCAATTAAAACACATGAGATTTTAATGACTGAGAGATTAGTTGAACCGTCCTTGTCCGAGAGTTACCGTAGGAATTGACTCGAGGGACATTGACATGTTGTTCGACACTGGTGCAAGCATTTTTATAATGTCTTGTGAAAATTTTTATAAATATTGGCCTAATGGCTTGATTATAAAGGAAAATATGTGTTTAAAACAATTCGATGATTCGAAAATTTAAGTTTTGGGTAAAACTCAATGGGATGCCGTTTTCCCTGATACTACCATAAGTTTAGATTTATGGATAGTAAAAAAAAAAGGTGGAAACTATTATGGGGTGGGATTGAATTACAACAATTGGATCCTATAATAATTATTGGAATTTTTTTATTATCGATAGCGAATGGGCTAAAGATAATACTGAAAGAAAATTAATCGCCTATAGCATCCGAAATGAACTTCAAAAAAGAGAGATGTCTAAATTATTGAATGATGTCGTTAATAATAATTTTATTGAATATCCCAAAAAGGTAAGAGTAGAATCAAATAACTCTAATATAAATATTGAAATTGATAAAAGTCAATTGATAAATTGTGAAACCATTGAATTAAATAAAATTAATAGTGCTATACCTATTTTAGTTAAAAAATTTAATATAATTTTTGAAGAAAAGTTAGGACGTTTAAATGATTATCAAGTAGATGTTAACTTAAAGAGGGTTTTCACCCATCTTTTTGGTTTGCCGTAGAGTTCCTTTTGAGTGGAAAAAGGAAATTAATGAAGGATTAGATCAATGGGTTAAAGATGGCATCATTATTCCAATTGATTAGTGAGTGGGCCACCCCATTAGTTCCTGTTAAAAAATCAAACGGAAAGTTAAGGCTATGTGCTGATTTCCGTGTAACCCTAAATAGATGGGTAGTGGAGGTAAAGTATCCATTGCTAATAATTGAGGAAATTTTGGCCAATTTAAAAGGTGCCAAATTTTTTTCCATAGTTGATTTTTCTTCTGCTTATTTGCAATTACCTTTGAAAGAAAAAATTCAAAAATTGTTTACAATAACGACTCCTAAAGGTTTATTTGCCTTTTGCAGGTTACCATATGGATTAAGTGTGTCAGAGCCGATATTTCAGCGTACTATGGCATCAGTTTTCCAAGGCCTTGAAGGAGTTTATTACTATATGGATGATGTGTTGGTTACTGGTATAACACCAGAAAAACATAATCAACGTTTGGAAGAGGTTTTCAAGCGAATTCGTGATAAAGGTCTAAGGGCCAGTAAAGAAAAAAGTGTCCTAGGAGTAACAGAAGTTACCTACTTAAGACATCAAATAAAAGGAATGGAGGTGAAACCTCTTGAGAAAAATCTAAAAATATAACAAATATGAATCCGCCAAACAATAAAGCGGAGTTGCAATCATTTTTGGGTATGATAAATTATTATCATCGTTTTGTGGAGAATTTTGCAAAAGTGGCATCTCCATTGTATGACTTATTAAAAAAGGGTGTTCATTTTAAGTGAAAAATTAAACAACAAAAAGCCTTTTAAATTTTAAAAGAAAAAATTGGTGAGGAACCGATTTTAGTTTGTTTTAACAATGATTTAGAAATAATATTAGCTGTTGATGCATCTAACAAAGGTGTCGGTGGTGCGTTATTATATTTAATAGAAGGTTTAGAGAGGCCCATTATATTTTTCTCGCGAGTTTTTCGTGAGGTGGAGACCCGGTATTCTGTTATTGAACAGGAGGCTTTAGCGGTCATTTTTGGTTTAACCAAGTGTAGGGAATATCTTATTGGGAAAAAATTTGTGATTTTTCCCGATCACAAGCCGTTAATCCATCTATTTAAGAAGGATAATAGAGTTAATGCTATCGCCCCGGCTACAACGTTGGTTGTTGTTGGTGGGCAACGTGGAAATTAGATATCGTCGAGGCAAAGAAAATTGTTTGCCAGATATTTTATCTAGGTTGGGATCCAGTGAAGAAGATCTTGACTTTAACAAAAATATAACAGTGAATAAAGAAAAAGCATTGATTTGTCCTTTATCACATATGTTAAAGGGTGGTCCTACTAATTGGGAGGACCTTAAATTCAATACTTTAAAAGATAAAGAATTGAATCGATTCAAATTATTTTTAACCGGGAAAAACCCCTAGAGGAATAATTGTAAATTGTATAAAAAAATTGATAAAATGACTGTTTATGATGATAAAAAGGAAAGATTTGTGGATAAATAATTATAATATGTTATATTATTTATTAAAATAACGGTCATAAAGTGTATACCACGGATGATAAAATGACTATTTTTATTGTTTATAAAAAAAAAAAGATTTGAAAGGGATAAATACAATATGTTTTATTAAAATAACGGTCATTGATAAAAGAGGAAAAACTAAGTTTTGTATTTGTTTATGGGACAAAAGGGGGGGGGGAAGATTTGAAATGGATAAATAATTACAATATGTCATATTATTTATTTGTATAGAAAAAGTGTTTTTGAGATTAAAATTAATAATATTTTTTTAACCATGTTTGAAATTGATAAATAAGTATAATATGTTAAAGTATTTATTTGGGCATAAAAGGTGTTAATTTAAAATAAAATTAATTAATATTTTATTTTCTTTTGAAAATATTCTGTTAATTTAAATAAAATTTTTCTATCATATTATTAATTAATTAATTAATGGAAACGCAATCACAACTGATAAGCTTTAAAAACCATTTTGTCCAAATAACTATCATTCCGAAAGATATGGGAATGAGATTCGATACGTGAAATTCCTTGGAAGGAATGACGCATTTGAACAATGTTACCGAAATTCGTAAAAGAAGATGTTTCAAGTGCAATTCCGAGGAGCATTTGATTCAACAGTGTCCTTCCAGTTTGACGTATCACAAAAAGAGTAAGAAATATGATAATAACAATAAAAATTTTATTAAAAATTGGTCGATGAAGATGAATCAAGGAAATAAGATGGGACGTATAATGGGCAAAAGAAAGACAGGTATCATGATTAAAAAAAAGAACGAGATATGAATAAGCACGATGAAAGAAATGATATATCAAACAATAATACTCGAGGATCAACCCAAGCTATGGATCAAGAATATAATGACTACCTTTCTCCCATAGATCAAAGGCGTGGGAGAATTTGATGCTCAGTGGCAGAGATGAGGAACCCGGAACATCGAATATTAAGAATAAAGAAATTTGTAAATTTTTGTTGTTATTAACATTTTTCTTACTCTTTTTGTGATACGTCAAACCGGAAGGACATCGTTGAATCAAATGCTCATCGGAATTGCACAAACATCTTCTTTTACGAATTTCGGTAACATTGTTCAAATGTGTCATTCCTTCCAAGGAATTGCACGTATCGAATCTCATTCCCATATCTTTCGGAATGATAGTTATTTGGACAAAAAGCTTTTTAAAGCTTATCAGTTGTGATTGCGTTTCCATTATTTAATGATATGATAGAAGAATTTTATTTAAATTAACAGAATATTTTCAAAAGAAAAAAAAATATTAATTAATTTTATTTTAAATTAACACCTTTTATACCCAAATAAATACTTAAACATATTGTATATCTTACAAACTAGGACACTAATGACAGAGTTAATGGAAATAATTGATATTGGGAATGATCAAATACTAACAGCAAACTATCAACAAACGATGATTCAAGAAACGATGATCCAACTGACAAACAAACTCACGCATTACTAGCAAATGAATACTAGAGCAATAGATAGGATGATCAACTGATGAAGTCAAGAGAGGGAAAACTTTTAAAAAAAGAGGGAAGTGTTAAATATAAAATTAAAGATTATTTGAATATAAATTTTGTAAATTGTTTAACCTTAAAACAAAATTTTATTTTCTTAATTTGTTAAAAAAAAATTTTTACTTTGTTATATGTAAAAACCTTAAAATAAATTCTTTATTTTCTTAAATTTTGTATATGTAAATAATCATAGTATAAAAAATGTATATATAGGATAGAAATTTGTCAAATACATATACATATATTTGTTAATAAATTAAATAAAAGAAATGAAATTTTTTATCGTTGCCTTCTATGTAGTTTTCATTCTAATGTTGTATAGTTTTTTTCTCCATCCGCAGTTTCTAATGTAGAAGGAAACCCCAGCCCTTATTGAATATCTATCTTATCTTATCAAAGTATTAATTTGTTTGCACGTATTTTACTGAATTTTCGTTAGAAAGGATGATAGGCATTGAACTCGTTAACCGCTTTACGCAAATTATGAGTAAAATATATTTTAAAAAAAACAATTGAACATCGTGAAATAGACAAATAGCTATTCGAAATTCTACCGCGCTTATATGAAATCCTAAGACTTTTAACAGATTGTGGGTAGAAATATTTCATCCAAAAAAAGGAGACCCCAAAGAACGTTTTTTGTCTCAAGCAGCAAATATCTCATATAAAATAAGTTCTGAGTTTGATTTATTGCTTTTTTTAAACAAATTCATCATTCAAAAAGCTCAAGTCATAATGTAACTTCCTGTTTGATTTTCTGTTAAAAAGAATTCAAATGGAATAATAAAATATTCGTATTTGATTCTCGAATATCGAATTATCCGATTCATTTGAAAATAGAATACAAGTATATGAATATTCAATTTGTATAAGTTGTTTACTACACCGTACAATAAATCGCTTTACCGTTTATCTAATGCCCAGACCTGGAAAAATGAGTTACATAGGGGAGGAATTCGAAACTTTATTTCGGGAAGAACTATAAAAATTTAGAAAATCATTCTTTTCTTTAAAAAAATACACATAGTAAATGATAAAAAGGGGGAATCAAACTTTTTCCACTTGCGAAAATATATCCGCGTTTATGAGGCAGATAAACGTATTCGATAAACTAGCCATAAGACTTTTTAATTCGGGCCCGGTTTCGAAAAACGATTGGCTAGAGGCATTGGCAAAAAGTTGGGTCATCGTTCGTTTTGTATAGTTGGGAACACTTTGTCTTGAGAAGAAAAATAAAATTAGTTAAATTTTGATTGTGATGAGTGAGTGAGTGAGTTGAAAAAATAAAATTAATAATCATACTTCAATTCGTCCCAGAAGATGGTTGGCTTCATGATAAGTATGAGTTTATCCATCAATCTCAAAGAACAGTTAGCCGTTTGAAAAACCTGCACATTAAAAAACATCACAAATATGGAAGAAAACAAAGGAGTAATTTTATATATTTCCATTTTTCAGTTTCCAAAAAATTTTTACATTTTTCGAGCGTTTGCGCATTAAAAATTAACAATTTTACCGTCTGCTTAATAAATTATATTAAATTCCGAAAATTTTTATTATATTTTTAAAAGTTATACCTATTTATATTTTTATAAAGACCTTTATATTTATAAATTCAATTTTTTTATTATTATAATGACCATCAGATGCTAAGATAGTGCGAAACCCCTTAGACGCTTAAACCCCAAAAATTAATTTGGGTAGTAATGCTGTACATTTTAAAATGGTTCTTCTGTAGATTTCATACAAGTGGATATAGAATCCTATGATAATAAAATGACATTCTTTACAATTAAGATTTAGAAGAAAAATTCATTTTCAAAATATCCATTATTTATTTATTTTAAATTTCAAATAATAAAAAAAAATAACCTTGTTTATCTCACACCTTTTTTGCTCGTCGCTTACTTGTGCGACACCTTCATCTTTCCGAAAATAAAAAAAAATTATTATAAATCATATCACCATTCTTTCTTCTTGGGTGACTTTTCTATCACTCTTTAATGAAATGTCAGAACGGAGCTTTATGGATAGCAAAAGATATTATTTTTAAATCATATCTTTTGCTATCGTATAAAGCCACATGATATCCTCCGAACAATATTGCATGAGGGAAATAATTTTATTTAAAATAATAGGTGTTCCTGTGTATTTGTTAAAACTAAGATTTATACATTTCCAAAAAATTAAGATGTGTTATAATGTTATTTTAATCACCCCATAGCGTCATATATCAGAGACATGGTGACTTTTTAAAAGATAGAAAGATGACACTATGCTACTTAAAAAAATATGAATGAGACTATAATAAAAGGTATATATTATATGTCTCTCGATAATATCAACCAAATATTTCGATATAATACAATTTGGTAATATAAAGAAATAAGATACAACATTATAATAAAATAAATTTGTTGAAATATTTTATTTTTTAAAACTTTCTAGATTGTAAGGACCGTCGATTAGGCTTATATCGAAGAATAAACTTTGTCCTCCCTGGTTGCCTGCTTTAGCATCATTCAATACAGATATCTTGAGGATATTTTTTTAAATAGTTTACATCTTTTTATTTTTGATATAATAACATTTATTATTTTTGTGGTATAGGCATATAATAATCGATCTTCAATTCTTTGACTAAATTAGTTAAATATATGCGTGTTAGTAGTGTGAAGTAAAAAGAAAACTAAAAATGTAATCAGTAACCTTAAAAAATTATCTTTTTGTAGTATGTAACTTATAACTTAACTAGTTTCTAACTTTCAACAACAAGAATACATACATATTATTTTATTTCATGTGTATCTATATATTTTTTCGAGCTTACGATATATATTTCATCGTTTAAACGTTTTCCGCACTTAACGTTTCAAATTTATTGTTTTTTTTATAAAGTTCTTGAAATGGATCGACCTTCGATACTGAAAGTTATAAAAAAGGTAAGCCAAGTGAACGAAACAGGTTACAAAAGTATCACTGATAATGATAAAAAAAAACGTATCGTGATACTTACATTTATCCTAAAAAGGTAAAGTGGTAAAACCTGGGAAGTAACACTTAAATCAACATTATAAAATGTAAACCTTCTCGACACAATTTTCCACGTTATTCATTAAAACTGTGAATAGATTGAATGTAGGATTCGTTAACAATCTCGCTTTCAAGTCGCTTTCATAAGGCTCGTCATCCGCAGAGGTCAACTATTAATATCAAAATGTTTATTTTAATTATCTTCTTTTTTTATAAATCAGATCATAATTTGGGATGGGGTTCGTCATATTTCAATACTACATGCATTAGAAATGTCTGTTATATTTGAATGTTTATATATATTTTAAAGGTTACGCTATTTGAATTATATATTATTATAACTTTCTTACATTTAATATTATCTTATGGAGGTCAATGTAATTGCATATTAGTAGAAGTTAAATGACATAATTATAAAAGACTATCTATAGGAAACAATTTTATAATAAAGAATCTATTGTTTTGACTATAAAAAATGGCGACGAAATAAAAAAAAAATCTAAGTCACGCGGTTTTCGGTCTTCGGTCAAGTTTAATAATATATAGAATTATAAAAAAAAAAATTATATATATTTAGAAATTATGGATAAAATTATTCTCCAGGACTTTAAAAAGGAAGATTGTTCTATCGAGGACTACGTTGATTATATCAAATATATACTAAATGTGAAAAATATTCCTCAAACTGACGCCACTTTAAAAAAATTATTTATAGCTTATGGAGGAATAAACATTATAACTGATATCAAAAAATTACTCTATTCTAGGAATATAGAGGAGGTAGGATGGATTGACATATATAAAATAGCAAAACAACTATATAAAGATGAAAGAACAATTTTGGCATCAAGAATTGATTTCATTAGATTAAGTCGCGGGGCTGCTGAATCCGTAATGAGCTATTTAAAAAATATAAAGGAGCTAGCCCGAAGATGCGAATTTGAAGACAATGTAGAACTGAGAATTCGAGAACAATTAATCGCCGGATTAAAGATGTCACAACTGGTTAAATAACTACGATTAAGATATCCAGATACTAAAGATGAAGACCAACCGTTAAGCTTAAACAAAGTGGTAGAATTGGCTTTAGCGATGGAACGAGCCGACTTAGAAATAAATAATACTGCTAAAATGGTATATAAAATAAAAGAGCTGAATAAACATAATAATAATCGGATAAATCAACATGATAAAAATAATCGGCAGTATAATAATAATGATAATGATAAACGGCACTATCAAAAGGATAATAAAGCATATGTAAAAAGAGCTAGTGCCCGGGTATAATAACTACAATACAAATAATAATAGTAATTGGAGAAAACCATGCTACTTCTGTAATCGGTTTCATGCTATTAGAAATTGTCCCGCCTACGGAAAATTGTGCAGCAAATGTAGGAAACCAAACCACTTCGCCGTATGTTGTGCTAAAGAAAAGATTTACGGAACAAATTACAATAATAAAGAAGACGATTCGGATGTCTCAATAAGAAAAATATACAAATATGGGCAACATCTAACAATTGAGGTATTAATAAACAACCAAAAAATTAAAATGGAATATGATACTGGCTCGGCAAAACCATTATTAATGAAATAATATGGAATAAAATCGGAAGGCCAAAACTTAGAAGAGCTAAAGCACCAACTACATATGGAAATAATAGAATAAAAATTATGGGTGAAGCTGATGTAAAAGTACAATTAAATAATAAAATAAAATGGCTTTCATTATTAGTCACACAAACAAATGATGCAGCTCTATTTGGATTTCCATGGATTATCGAATTTAACTTATCGTTACCAAAAAATGTAAAAATCAATATGATCAACAATAGATATAAATACAATGATAATGGTAACGTAAATATTGACAAACTATTTAAAGAATTTGCTAGGTGTTTGACAATAAATTAGGATTAATAAAAAATGTCGAACCAATAAAACTGCAATTGGAAGAAAATACAAAACCAATTGCACTGCCAGCTAGAAGAGTACCGTTGCCTTTAAAAGTAGAAATTAAAAATGATACTGAACATATCGAGAATATAAAACAAGTCCTTAAAAAATTACAAAATGCGGGATTAAAAGTTAAAACAAGCAAAATAAATTTTATGAAAGAAAAAGTATCATATTTAGGATACATAATAGATCAAAATGGAATACACCCTGATAAAAGTAAAATAATAGCAATACAAAAATATCCAACGCCAAAAGATAGACATGACATAAAATCATTTTTAGGTATATTAAATTATTATACACGGTTCATGCCAAACTTACATGGAATCATAACCGAATTACATAATAAAACTAGTAAAAATGTTAAATGGAATTGGACTAATATTTGAAAAGCAAAAAGAATAGTAACAGAACACAATACTATACAATTTTATAAACCGGATCTTGAGTTAATACTAGAAACAGATGCATCAAACCAAGGATTTGGAGCTGTACTCTTGCAAAAATATGATAATGGTAACGAATACCCCTTACACCTCGAGAACTTTACAAGATGCTGAAAAGAATTCGACAATCGACAAAGAAGCCAAAGCGGCGTAGAAATTTCATAACTATTTGTATGAACGAAAGAACGGACCATAAACCTTTAATAAAAATATATGGGGATAAAAGAGATTTAAACGCCTTAACAAACCAAAGATTGTTACGTTGGGCTTATAAATTATCTGCATATGATTATGAAATGGAGCAAGTAATATAATTGCAGATGCTTTATCGCGAAACCCAATAGAGAAAAATGATAATAAAATAACAAGTGAAAATAAAACAGTGAAATATATACGAAATCTTACTTATGACACATTAACTCTATCAAGAGATGAAACTGCGAAAGATCCAATTTTAGTAAAAATATTATTAAATGGTACAAATATACAAAATCAAGCACCAGAATTACAAGCTTTTAGAACAAGAATAGATGAAATAGAAAATGATGACGGTATCCTATTTTGGAATGGTCGCTTAATAATTCCATATTCACTATAAAAACGAGTTTTACAGATATTACATACAGGTCATCCCGGTATTACATCGATGAAATCCATTACGAGACATTATATATGGTGAGAAAAATTAGATAAAGATGTCGAAAAATTAGTCAACCGCTGTATTGGGTGTCAAAAACATCGCAGATATATACCAGAAGTTGCCGTATACCCATGGAATCCGCCAGCACAACCCTGATGGTGCAAAAATAAGAATAAACAACACATAAAAACTACACCATACCATCCGAGAAGTAAAGAAACTATAAAAAATCGGTCTAATAGAGAACAAACAAATGAAGGGGCAAAATGCCTTATGAAGTATTAGTTACATATAGAAATTCCGAACATTCCTCAACGGGCCCAATACCTGCCAAACTATTTATGGGGAGAAGACTAAATACTTTATTAGACTGCGAAAACACGCAGATCAACTAAGAATAAGGGAAGAACCAGACGAAACAAATCAATAATACCAATTGAACCAAGTCAAAAGGAAGGCAACCGCGTTATCCAACAAGGGAACGAAAGCCAACAAAAAGATTAATAGATGAACTTGACTTGGTAATAAAAAGATTGATAGACGATCTTAACTTGGTGGGAAAGAAGTTATATTTGAATGTTTATATATATATATTAAAAGGTTACGCTATTTGAATTATATATTATTATAACTTTCTTACATTTAATATTATCTTATGGAGATCAATGTAATTGCATATTAGTAGAAGTTAAATGACATAATTATAAATGACTATATATAGGAAACAATTTTATAATAAAGAATCTATTGTTTTGACTATAAAAGGCCTGTTATAAAATTTTTATATGAAATGTCCAGGTTCGATATGTAAACAACTTTTAAACGAACGTGCCCGAATCCTTAAAAAAAATTGCACTAATTGTCCAGCACATTAAATATAACGCTGGCGATTATACTAAAAAAAATACAACAGTCAATCATTTTAAAAAGGTTATATAATTTGACCAACCTGGTGGGTTTATTTTATTTTTCACAGAATTCTCGACTTGTTAAATTCTTTGCTCGGCCCTACATGAAAATTTTTTTAACCGAGCTTTCTGACCCCTGAGATCTCCAATAAGTATTAATAGCCCTACCCATTATATGTATTGGTAAAATATTATTAAATAAATAATACAAAATTAACTAAAGTTAATCCTTTTTGTATCTCCCTGGCCACGATCCAAATATTATTATTATTATTATTAAATAAAAAAAATGATAATTATTTAAATGAATAGGCAAATTTGCTAAGTTAAAACAAAACTATCGCGCATGCGTCCAAAAAAACAAAAATCATCTAACTTTGGAGTCGCTGATAATCATTGAATCCGGTACAAACGATTCGACCAAAAAGCATAATTTATATACCATTCGGTGAAAATTTTCGTCTAAAATTTTTGATCGATTTCTAAAAATAAATTTTTTTTTTAATCATAAATTTTTTGGCATATAAATGTAAAGCAAATTTCTCTTAAAAGGATCAGTAAATCCAGTTCAAAGTGAGTGACCATAAATAGCAGACCAAAAAATCCATTATAAAAGTGATAAGAGGAGATGGCAACGTTCTCGATCGATTGAGGTAAAAATTACCCCTACAGAAGTTATAGAAGTTAGGAAGGAAGTATCCGGTCAAAAAACTTCGTTCTACACTATTATGATATTAAACTAAACCGGGGAACGCTTAATAATTAAGGTGGGCAATCGGTGGTCAAACCAAAATATAAAGACCGTATCCTGTAATTATAAATCAGTGACTTATATCACGAGGGGGGTTGTCATTGAAATTAAAGGATGGGGGGGGGGTAGTAGTTTTGAAGATGACATCGTCATACGAATACAATTGGAGGGAAAGAGGGGAGGAGTTTTGATTTGGATTTTCCTTTCGCTAATTTTAATTTATTAGGAGGGTGCAAAATTATCGAGAGGGGGGGGGCAAAATCGTTATTGGTTTGGGGGGTGGGTGTAGAAGTTCCTGATAATAATCATCCTTTAAACATTAAAATATATAAAAGGTGTAGGCAATAACTTCCAATCAAAATCCTTGAAATTCGTCAGGATATCATCCATCCTATCAGATTTTATGATGGAATCGTGTTTATCGGATATGATTGCATGGTAAAATTGTAACCCGAATAAATAGGTCGAAGTTATTCCAGGATAAACCTTTTTGAGTTCGGGTGACAATTGAAAGCCGTAAAAAAACTTCATCCTCTCTACCAAGTGTACTATGATCGACCACTTTTACATTTAAATATTTATATATATATTATTAAATGTCGTTGATGGAAATGAAGAGTCATTGATTATTATTTCCGTAAGCCAGGTGTGGGCCAATAATATATGATACTCATCTAGACTGATGATTCATTAAAATGCATTTTGAAACGTGGTTGAATACAAATCAGCTGTTGGCACATTTTGTTTTCCATATAAGAATTTTTATAAATAAATAAAACTCTAAAGAAATTTTTTTTATGTATTCATAAAATTTTAATATAAATTATATTTAAGGGAAACCAAAATAGAGTGTCATCAGCTGATTTTTACATTTAAATAAATAGATAGTCAGTCATTATGTCATTGGTGTGAGCCAACTATAGATTAATATAAAGCTTCCATTTTCTTAATAAAAAAAAGGAGTCGTGTGTGCCCATTAATTTTTTAAGTATCGCTGCAACTTGTCTAATTTGAGCTTTTGAATTGATAAACTGTTTTAAAAATTAAAAGATTCCTATTTATTATCATGAAATTTCGGCGCCTATAAAGTGATCAAATAAAATAAACTATTTTAAAAAATAGCGCAAAAATATTTTGAAATAATTTTTTTTAAGAGTGTATTTTACATTTTCTTTGAGAATTAGATTGACAGTTTTCCTGGCTTCCGTCGATAGGTTCGGATTTAGAGATGAATAAATGCTAAAAATGACATCCATAAGGGCACATGTATGGATTACGAGAGATACATTTTGCGATTCGCTTACTAGGCAATCCTCGAAAAAGGGGCACGATGTAATCAAGGATAGAATTTCTAAATCTTCGTAGACGATGGCAAAACTTTTTTTAGCGTTTATGTGATTAATAATAGTAAATAAATATGATTATCTTAAGTGATTATTCATATATATACTCAAGGCAACTATAGAAAACAAAAGGAAAACAAAAAGGAAAGAACTGTTCACTAATTTTGATATCGAAAATATATGTCGGTTAGAAAACGGAAAGAGGAAACGAACAAATTAAAAGACCAGAACCCTCTTGTAAAATTTATATGGAATCTATTTAAAAAATTTTCAGAGCCCTTCTGGAACCGGTTTTAACTAAAAGAGTTCGGGATACCCAGAACCGGAAACCCTTGGAACCGCGTAATATTTAAGAACTGGACCAGAACGCAATTTTAGAAATCGGAATAACAAGAATCACCTTTTTTTAAATGTTCAAGAACTGAATTAGAACTTTTTCTTGTACCAAGTTATAAACTTTTATATAAGGCTGTGGCTAAAACCATTTTTAAAAAATTCTTAAAGTTTCAAAATTTTCGCAAATTTTTAGAATTTTTAATGAAATCGTTATTAAATTTTTAAAATTTATAAAAATTTTCTAGAATTATGTTCTGTGCATGTTTTTTTGTTTTATATTTAACATAGCTTATTTATTTATCATGTGGTTATAATTTTTTTTGATGTGGACATAACCTAACAAAATGGGCAAATTATATTCTTAAAAAAATAATGGATTTGGTTAGAGCGTGACTCGTGGCGTTATTACTTTTCTTTAAAGCTTTGCAGGCCATGGAGATCTTGGATTAAGGTGTCCATTTTTCGGGCGTAGTCAGTAGTTTCGAACTTTTCGGAGTATGTAAAAAATCTTTTTAACATCGATTCTAAGCCACTTTCCAATAAAATGTGAGCGGCTTTCAGCTTTTTAAGGATTGAGTTGTTGATTATCATAAAAAATTCCTATTTTTTTAAAAAAAAAATAAGATAAAAATAAAAATAAAAAATAAATTTTGGTGGATGTATATTTGTTTATTTGTTTACACCTCCCCCCCCCACCCTCTATATTTTTAAACTTTTAATATAATTAATAAATAAAATACGGTTTCAGAAAACATTTCTATTCAAAAAGGGACATATAGCATAAAAATACTTTAATTAATGACTTAAAAATGCGCGCATATATTTTTCTTTAATTACTTTATTGGCACATTCGTTAGTAGTAGAATCGTTGGGAAGTAATGATTCGCTGATAATTTTAAATAAATTCAGTTCATTTCTTGCGAGCATATCCATGAGCAAATTATTGCCGTTTTGTGGATTTGACATGTGATCAGAATTTTGGATGAGATCTTGCAGACTTTTAAGAGCGCTTGACTTAGAAAATATAGTTTTGGATTTTTCTTTTATAACATCGGTCAAGTCGTGCAAATATTTAAAACTAATATCTTTACACTTTGAAGCTGTTAATATTATAAATAATAAAATTAATGAGATATGTAAAAGGAAGTTGAGTCCATCCTATAAAAACGGAAGTGGACCTAAAATTACCTAGAAAGCTCGCCAAAACTCCTTTTCTATAATTTCAAATATCAAAACAAAACTGTGCCCAAGTATAATCTGAACGATCGAGAGGAACATAAATTTAAAGGCTAAGAGCGAGAAAGGAATGGATAAGAAACCATTACTCTATCATTTGGGCAAAGTTTTATATTAAGATTAACTACTAATATTGTTTTACATCTTGTCAGTAGTGGGCCTATCGATAAATGAATACGAATTTGATTGTTTATACTATTCTTATTTGTAGCGAATAATAAAATTTAGATATTGGATCAAGTCAAGAACTGAGCATCTCGGGGACATTGATTAATTGGATGAAATATATTTAGAGTTAAACGAATATGTAGGATTATAGGTTAGAGAGATATGGATTGGGGGTTGGTTAAGATTTATTGAAAATGGTTTTTAATTAAAATATAATCATTTTTTATTAATAATTTGTCAAATGTGACAGGTCATGTGATTAAAAATTAATTTCCTTGAGCTGGACCACAATCTAAAATTTACTGGTCTTATTTGATTGGTACAAATTAGAGGTCTGCATTGGGAGGGCTTTCGGCCCGCGCGTCCATCTAAGTGGGCGGGCAAAAAAAAATTTGAACGGGCAGGCGGGCGGTGGGTTAAAAAATTTAAAATTATGGGCGGGTTGCTGGACGGGTTAAGAAATTTAACAATGAGCGGGCGGGTTAAAAAAATTTTAATCATTTAAGTAAATATTAATAAAAAATTGTTCCTATGAACTTTTTTTGGATATTAAAAATTAAAATGTCCTTTTTTGGTAATATAAAAACTTTTTTCTTAAAATAAATAAACTTTTTTTGTATATTAAAACTACATTGGTGGAAACGACAAGAAAGAGATTTTCCAAAGCTATCAAGATTAGCAAGAAAAATATTGGCAATCTCTGCAACTAGTGCTTTTTCTGAAAGAGGATTTAGCATTGCTGAAAGTTTATAGAACAAAAAAGAACGTGTTTGAATCCAGAAAATGTCGATTCATTATTATTTTTGCATTATTACATATATAAATTTTATATTTATATTACTTTCATAAATATTTTATTTGATCAAATAAATTATCCATAATTTTTGAATATTTTTTTATGCTTAATATAGTAATTTCCTAAAAAAAAATTTGCAGAGGTGTAATGCTGAAATTCTTTTTTATTAGATGCTTAAAAAATTGAGAACGGCCATAATTAATGTTTATAATAGCAGGCTTGGGTTAAAAAAAATTTTTTTATAAATAATGGGTGGACGGGTAAAAAATTTTAGACTAATGTGAGGGTGGGCGGGTAAAAAAATCTAGACTAATGGGCAGGCGGGTATATTTTTTTTGAAAAATGGGCGGCTTGGGCGAGCGTAATTTTTTTTAAAACATTGGGTGGGCGGGCTTATGGTCCAAATCCTCCCAATGCAGATCTCAAGTAAAAATTTCCGTAAGTAAAAACATATATTCAATTCTTTTAAAAGAATCAAATACGAGTAATTCATTATTCGACTCTATGTTTTTGAATAGTTCTAGTCAAGAGAAGACTTGAGTGTTATATCCGAAACATTTAATAATCTCGATATAATAATTCCATAGGGAGTATATTTATATATTTTTTTTATTTTTTCAAAGAAGCCAAAAGGGCATTTTATTTCAAAAAATGATTCAAATTTATAAAATTATAGCGAGTACAAAAAATATAAGTAATTTGATGTATTTTCATTCAAATATTTATTTTTTATAATTAAAATATCCCAATTGGGTTCTTAGAGTAATAGCCAAAATGTTGAAATTCCTAAGATAAATCTTTTAATATTAAAAAAAATACAATGAACATGAATGGTTGTAAAAATTTAAATACAATGGTACAGAATTGGGCAGTACCGCAAATAATTTATCTAAGATACAAGATCCTTTAGCATCAGTATCTTTTTGACATTTTTAGTAAGATATTAATATCTATATCTAAGATCCTTTATTTGAAAAGAATCTTGTTTTCACTCTCTTGACAAAAGATACCGATAAAAATTCTTTTTAACATTCATGTAATTTTACATATCACAGTATATAACTAATTTTCTTTGGGGATCTTGTATTAATTTCCTTATTTTTTTTCGTCATATTTTAAATATATTCACACCAAAATTGGCTGGAAAATTTCCGACTCATATTAAGATAAATAGATATAAAATAACAACACCAAAACGAAATAAGTAAAAATTATATTTTATATATAAATGTAACTAGATAGAATGCCATTATCAATTTTATGTAATATTTTTTAATTTGTAGGATGATTAACACTCATGATAGTGAAGAAGAAGGTAGTGAAATTCAAATTATGGAAATAAGTTCCCCTGAATCAAATCCCGATCTTAAAATTTTAGATGGAAATTTTTTTTAAATAAAAGTTAAAAAGGGCAATGTACAGGCTGAATGTAAAACCTGTATAAATAAAAATTATAAAGGGTTCAGCATAAATTTTGTTGAACATATTAAAGTATATTATTTATAAAAGGGACATAGGTTATCTTAAAAATTCAAGTTTACAATATTGTCTACCTTTATTAAAAGCTGCCCAAGATGGTATGGGAAAAAAATTTAAAAAAATATTTTCCTATGATATGAATATTGAGATTTTTTTGGCATCAATCTCACATCCAAATTTTAGAACTCATGGATTGAGCCGGATCATAAAAAAATACTTTCAAAATATACTATTAAAAGAAGCCCTAAATGTAGTACCAGAGTATATAAACAAGCTCAAACTATAACACCAATAGATTTAACATCTTATATAGAAAATGATGATTATTTTTCTTTTGGTGAAACAAATGTTGCTGAGTTTACAAATATTTAACTGGAGGTTTTAAATTATATTAAAGAAAGTAGAAATACATTATAAATGCTTAATTAATATCCTTTCATTATGAATTTTTTTTTAATTACTTCTATACCTTCATCAACTCTAATTGAAAGGTTATTTAGTTTTTGCACAATGTTAAGTACGGAAACGGCAAATGATAATTTTTTTGAAAAATTTGATTATCTTATAAAATAACAAATCTATTTTAAATACTCTTTTGCAAATTAATATTTCCTATCATTAAACTAGTCTGCCGTTCCTAGCAATGCTAAGAATGGGCTAATACTAATATTAAAATGCCCGATTATTATAATTAACTCATCATTAAATATTTATTAATCATTCTTATTATATGTTCACAAATAGATACTGTATTTTATAAACTATTCTTATTTAATTGGTAATGATAATTTTAAAGTATCTTGTATAAGATACTCTAATTTAGCAAAAAATACAAGTATCCTTGTATGTTTTTGATATTTTGAAAAAGATACTAGTATCTGTATCTAAGATTCATTTTTTTTATAAGGAATTTGTATCTGTATCTAGATTCTTTTTCCAGAAAACCTGCCCAACTCTGCAATGGCAGTCAACATAAAAAATCTTCTCAATAAAAAAGAAGCCTTTTAAAAGGGCAAAATAAATTGGAAATAAATTTCATATGAAAGAGGGAATGACATTAGCTGTAAATGCCATTTATTTATTTTATATATCCTCCAAAAAAATAGAAGTTTTTTGTTGGAGATGACCCCAAAGATCTGGCCGTAAAAGTTGTCCAGAAGTCCAGCCCCGGCTTTAAAAAAAAAATGTTAAAAAATAAAATGTTGTTTTCGCTTTTTTCTCTTATAAAATTAAAATTTTTCTTTAGCGATTTTTATTAAATTTAACTTTTAAAATACGTTGTATTTAAAAAAAAATCAAATCAAAAATTTCGGGCTGGGATAGGGCTTTTAAAAATGAACGAATCAGATTTTTTAAGGTATTTGAACAAAAAAAACATATATCATCACTATTTTTGATGCGTAACTCTTAGGCTGTGTTAAAACTTATTTCTGTTTAACCCAGGCTAAACATATTTTGAACTAGGACAACCCTATTTTGGTTTGTTTTAAGTTTACATATATTAAATAAATTATATTTGTTATTTATATTATTTTTTTCGGTACAAACAATGACGCGTAATCTTTTACGTAAATCTATATACCCTCTTTCTTTTTTAGGCTGTTTACCACGCAATCACAGTTAGAATTTGGGCAAAATATATAAAATATGCAGTGTTAGATGAAGTTAAACAGGTGACTATGACTGTTCTCTTTTTTCTACATATTAAAATACGTTCTTTTTAGGGAAGCCTATTCCACCCTATTTTTCTAATTATTTTCTCCCATTTTTTATACTTGACAACAATCCAAATAACCTTATAAATCTATAAATATTATATATAAAATATTCGGTTTTAAATATAAGACCCGGCCCGGGTATATTTAAAATATTTAAATACGGCCTGGCCCTGCAGGTCTCTAAGTAGATAAGTTATTATAAAATACCGTTTAGCTAATACTCGATATTCTTTGTTAATATTTAAAGTTTTAATAAAATCAGGTTTTTATATGCCTTCTTCAAACTAAAAAACATTTGTAGATTATAAGATTATCTGAACCTAAAATTAAAAAGCCAAAAAGCTGGAAAAGACCACTAAATTTTTTTTTAATTAAGGTTCTGTTTTTATTATGTTGAAGGTTTTATTTAAAATGTTGCTTTAAATATTTTTCTATGTTTGTTTTTAGCTAAGTTTTATATGGTAATATTAGTAATTAGAGGTGTACCAAATAGAGAATCTAAGATAAGAACCTAGATCCCTTTATTTAGATCTGACCAGTTATATTAATGAATACAGCCAATTAATTATATTTGATTCTGAAGATATACCATGAACAAATTTGAACATATTTTGAATTTAGATTCTATGTATAAGAGTTAATAGATATTTTTTATAGTGCTGTGCCGATCCACATATTGCACCGATCCGATCCGATCAAATATTTTTCACTATTGGCTCAAACGCGATCCGATATCGATATTAGAATTCTGCAGATAACAAATTTTGCAAAATTATCTTTGTCTTTTGTAAAATATTTCCATAATTCAGATACCATAACTATAATAATTCTTTTATTTAAAGTATAAATAATAAAATTGGTGTTATTTAAAAAGATTTAAAATATATGAAATGGGTATTCCTTTCTATTTTTATTTTTAAAATACTATAAATCTATTTTAGAAATAAATAAAATTTAAGGGGTTTTGTGCATTTGCATTGTTTAAAAAAAATTATTTAGAAAATATTAATAATGTAAAATAAATATACATAAAATAACAAATAAAATAAAAGTAAAAAGATTGGATAGGATCGGGTTTTTACAGGTATTGGCCTGATCCGATATTTTTGGAAAACACTAAATATCGGTGTCGATCCGAGCCGACATTTAATATTGGCAAAGCCCTATTTTTTTTATAAGATGTAATGTTTGTACCAGAACCAGTCAGGTAATTTTTAAAAAAAAATAGGAACTGGTACCAACATCAGTATCAGTAAAATAATAAGGATCTGGTCATCCCTTTGAGATTGATTTTCAAAAATTTTAAAAACTTGGAATAGTAATATTAATTCATTATATTTAAAAAATTAAGATATGTTCATATGTATAAAAAACAGTTAAATTTTTTATAAATATCATACATAATTATTTTATTTTGCATTATGAAAAACATGTTAAATTATTAAGAATATTTGTTTCAAATATACAAAATAAAACCTGCATTAGATTGAGGAAGTTCATTAAAAGTTGCTGTTTCCAGAAGAGCTATTAAATTCAAAACAGATGATTCATGTATAAAAATTTGGTTAGTTGAAATTTCCTTCAACACAAGTATTATAGTTTTCTGTATCAAGTATAAAAGATACATTAAAAAATTTAATATATTTATAATATATTATTTTTATTATCCTTTCCTTATGATATATATATAGTATTACATAAAGTTAAAGAGTAAAAAGAAGTGCTTAATTTCAGAGATAATTATTTTATAAAAATCATATAATAGCATAAATTTATATAAGGTTTACTCTTTCAACAGGAAAACTTGATTTATTTTGGAAAATGTAGATGAGATTACTGATACACATTCCATATGATTCAATTATATCTTCAAATAGGTAATTTGCTATTAAGATAAAAAAATAATAATATATGTAATAATATACATATAAAATAACCACCTGTATCACTGCTTATCAAAAAATGCAAGGATAATGTCATAATAATTGATTTGGTACTCACGTCACTAATATCAGTGCTTTATAAATTTTATAATATAATATATTATTAATAGTAACCTTTTTTTTATGATATTGATTAAATCATCTAAATTCGTTCTGTCTAAATTTCCATTTTTGGTGAAATTTAAAAATATTTTTGAGTATTGCTGTAGAACAGATTCACCCATTTTACGAATGAAAAAACATATGTAAAATATAGTAATAGTGTTGTTTTGGGAAACATATGTTTTTTATTGATGGCTAAAAAACGATAATATATTTGGTAATAAGTGGGTTAAATAATTCGATTTTATTTTTTATATCTTTCGGCGAGATTATTTTTAGTTTGTAGTTATAATTTATGTTTCTTCCTTAACTTTAAAATCAATTTAGTTGATCGTTTGATTTAGATATAAAATGAACATTTTTCTTTTTTAGAGAATATTAATAAATTTTTTGATTTATATAAAAATGTTTTTTATAAATAATATTTCAACATAAAATTTAATTCGTTTATTCTATATAATTTAACAATAATGAATATCTGATTTATAACAAAAATTTATTTCGATAAATCCTTCACGTTTCTACAAGTAGTAATTTGTAAGCTATACCAGTTGTGTACTAGAAGGGGGCTATGGAGGAATATTCCCTTCCCGCTAATCTTTTTTATTTTCCTCTTTCTAAATTTTGAATAGAGTCTGAGCTTGCCAAAATATTTTATATTTTAAAAGTGTTAAATTTTAATCTCCTCTCTCTTTATTATTGTTAATATATGACGTTTAAATCAATTTTTACAGTTAGTAGCTTTTTACTTTGTAGATTATTTTTTAATTTTTTTTTTATTATTTTACATTATAATCGTTTCTTTTATTATTTTATTAATGCTTTATTAAAATTAATAATGTTAAAAAAGATTGTTTTAATTATTTTATATTACATATTAAATAAATATCATATGTAAAGGGTTGTAAAAATAAACATCATATAGTAAAAGTAAGTGTGACGCTCAATATAAAATATAACTTTATTATCTTCTTTATTTTGATTTATTTTGATTGTTCGATATTATCATACTTGAATTAAATTGTCTATCAAATAAAACATTTAAATATCCCATTCTATTATCATTTATATAATCGATAATAATTTAAAACTTTTTCTTTTTTTGACTGTTTGGATTGAGCCAATTTAATAACACTACAATACTAATAAATGCATTTAGACAAAAGCTTATCGTGTTGAGAAATATTGAGTTCATTAGATTATTTCATATGATTTTTATTTTAAATTGTTTTTTAAGTTTTCACATCATGATTTTGGCTTATTGATATTTATTTTATACTTATATGCTATTAAACTAATTCAATTATTCTAACAAAATGCAATCAAGTGAGTTGACTAGAATAAATAATTTATTTCTATTTTTATAAAATTATATTTTCATCTTATAGGAACTTATAAAACTTGAAAGTCTAATAAAGAAGTATAATATTATTGTCCAAAATAAAATTCATAGTGAGATAGTTCTAAGAACAGAGCTGATTAAATCTATAAGAATAAATATTATATCTTTTATAAATTTTTAATTTTTAGAATTTATTTATACATTTCTTAGATATTCCATCAAAACCAAAGAATAAAAAAAAAGATGATAAACTTGATATTTGTATTAAAATAATTCTTAAAGTAAATCAAAATATAACGGTCTATTTTATTTTTACAAATCCTCCAATGACTGGGTTAATCCGTTGTATATGTTTATATTCATATACATCCTATTGATAATATGAAAGCATATAAAATGCTAAAGGTTCGTACTAAAGTATATAGTAAATATAATACCTATATTATAATTTTCCGATGTCGTGACTGCGTCATATCGTGATTTCATGTCATCGCTACGTCATGTCATTGGTACATATTTATTTATATTTTTTTTATTTGTTGATTTAATTTATTTTTTATATTTTCTATACAAACAGATAATCCTATAACTTACGTTTTCTATGCAACTGTAGGATGCTATATTAAATTCTTATAATTTATCATTACAATTTACATTGGATGTCAAAATAATACATTAAATATATCTATTTACAAAATATTACAAATTATTAATTTATATAGAAATTAATTTAGCTACGTCAAAGATTTTTTCTCTATAACTTAATTTGGAGTTATCTCCAATAATACGAGGTAATATTTGTTATTTCTTATAATAATATTAAATTATTATATAACCTTAATTAAATAAATATAATAATTAAATAATTGAAAATTAACAAATTTAATATTTTAATTAGTCGAGTCAAAATCACTAATCAACTATATTATTCATTTTTAAATTTAATTATCATGTCTCTTCGAAAATTTCAAGGTTCAAATCCAAATGAGTATAAGAGATTTCTATAAAAAAGTAAGTAGACATATAAATTATTGAAGAGAAAGAAGGATGAGTATATAATAAATAATTTATTTTATTTAATAGAACTAACTTTTACCGAATAATAACCAATGACATATAATAATACCTAGACTGACGATTCATTCATTAAAATGCATTTTTAAGCGTCGTTAAAAGAAAATCAGCTGGACCCGCCATTTTGGTAACCTTTATAATAATTATTTTTATGTTAAAAACTAATATTAAATTGATAACTTACTTTCTTATTATCTCGATGATCAGGCAATTCTTTAATAAAGTTTGCATCAGATATAATATAAAATTAGGCTCTCGTTTAAAATTTTAATATTTATTACAGTAACCAAGATGGCGTCTCTATCTGATTTGTATTGATGTACACTTTTAATGAATGAATCGTCAGTCTAGGTATTATTATATGTCATTGATAATAACAACCTATATATATTTTTTTATAAACTAAAATTAGAATACAATATTAAAAAGGTTAAGTTATAAAAATAAAATTGCAACAAAAATAAAAATATAATTTGAATAAACATAATGAATGTACGTTATATAAATTAAAACATATTACTATTCAATAACCAAAATATTTTAATTTATTAATTCCTATAATGTAACAATTATAATCCTCTATTATATATAATTAGTTATAATATTATGTAAAATGCCACTTTTACAGAATAATATATTACAGTTAATAATTTTAAAATTTTAATAATAAATGCTTTTGATAATAAATATAAGTAACAATGCATTCAGTTATTTAACGCCATCTATTTATTAAATATATTATAAAATTAAGTTCATCACACAATGGATGTAATAAATGTTTGTGTCTATACCAGGGGCGTCGCTAGCCTCTACAATCGGGGAAAATCTTATGGGAGGCTTCACCCACATGCCCACCAATTTACGGGCCCTCGGTATGCTTTTATCCGGGCTTCGACCGGATTTTATATTAATATATTTAAAATTTGCTAACTCTGAATAATTATTCTGAATTTCATATTTTGTCATTTATATATTTTGCATACAAAATTAACTAGCATATGAATAATTAAAACAATAGAAGACATTTTTAAAAATAATATTTTTTTAATACAAAATCTATTTATTACAGTATAAATATTTTCGATTACTGATATAATAAAATATTGCGTCTAAAGAATTACAAATGATAAAAAAAGGTTAATTAATTAATACATATGCCTCAATTGATAATGGTTTTTAAAACAACAAAAGGCTATATAATTCTTAGCAAGTTACATTGACTAAAGATCATGAAACTAATATAACTCTCTGTTACCATTTTAGACAATGTTTTATAGAATGGACTAATAAGGAAAATTTATAGGCCTAAACCAAATCAACAATTTTTGAAGAAGAGTGTATAAACGACCAATCCAAATCATAAAACTATATGGTAGTTAGAGCTCTCTTTTAGATGACATGATGGAAGCTAGATAAGTAATCGAGGAAATTATTGTAATATATTAATTTCTAAAAGATTATCTTCCATTTTTAATTAAAAAACGACTACACAGTTGTCTATTATTACTTATCTAAAATATGGAATCATATGCTCTCAGCAGCTGTGGTAATAATCTTAAATTACATAGCCACACAAATAATAGATGCTGGTTAATTTGCAGTCATAGCCATAACACTCACGATGGCAACCCATATCAGAATTTATTATGTTAGATAAATTGGTAAAACAAAAACACTAAAAATCTTTAGAAGAATGCAAATATATTGAAGCCTTAAGCCTACAAGGCAAGGATGCCATACAAGAAAATAAAACATTTGTAACTATAAAATAAGAAACGCATTGAGATTTTATATATTATTGTCGCACCACCTCTAGTTGGTATATTATATTTTAAAATAATATAGTTTGTAATAATATCAAAAATATATAAAATTTAACTCAAAACTGTTTTTCAAAAATGAAAAAAAATAGCTTATCCTAAAAACACATAAAAAAGAGAGGAAAAGATATCTAATTTATTACATCCATTGTGGGATGAATAATAAAACGTTTAATTTTAATAATATTTTATTAATAGATGGCGTTAAAAAATTGAATGCAAAATTGTTACTTATATTTTTTATCAAAAGCATTTAGCAAAATTTATTAAAATTTTAACTCTAATATATTCTATAACTGTCAAATACATATGTAAAAATGGCATTTTGCCTAATATTTTAAAGCCAATTATATATAATAGAGGATCATCAACTATATATCTACTTACTCTATATAAAGATATCTCTTTTGAAAATATTCTTAGGAAGAGGCATGGTAGTTAAATTTAAAAATGAATAATATAGTTGATTAATGATTTTTAAATCGGCTATTTACAATATTAAATTGGTTAATTTTCAATTAATAAATGATTATATACATTTAATTAGGGTTATAAAATAATTTAAATAATAAAAATCAATTAAGCTTCAACTGTTAATGATAAATTAATATTTAGACATTATTAGTGATATTGATATTATATTTCTAACATAGAATTTGATTGCAAGTTGACATAGTGAATATATAATTTACATTTATTAATCCTAATATAATAAATAAAATTTCACTCAATTTAATAAAAATTCAGATAGTGTTATTTATTTTTCTAAAATTAAATATAATTTATATGAATTAATTTATTCTAATAATTAAAATATCACTCATTTAATAAAAATTTAGATAATCTAATTAATTTATAAATAATTAAATCAAATCTATATATAATA